TTTTTTTTTTTTTTTTTTTGTCATCAGGCTTTTTGGCACTTCCATGAATGATTGAGAAGAAAATAAAAGAAAATAGTGGATATTTTTGTATTCTAGTTTGCTACTTTTTCAACGCAAAATGAGACCGATCTAGATGCTGGTCTAGATGGGAAAATCTAGACCGCGGTCAATATCGATTTCAGCCAATCAAATTCGTGAATTCGGTTGTTCCCAGTCCTTGTGAGACACAGCCACATAATAAAAGGGATTATTTAAAATTCGATATTTGCCCTTGGACGGCCTAAAAAAATCCTCTGCAAAGTTTATGTATAATCAGTTGAACTCTTCTTCAGCTTTAATTAATCTGATTTCGTGAAATTAGTTATTTTCGACTTTGGGCAACGAAAAAGACTTCCTTTATTTGCTTTCCGTCAGCTGGTCACTGAAAAACAGGAACTTCGTTCCAGTGATCTGAAATGCGGAAAAGATTGGCTTCATTTAGCTGTTCGTAACAGATCAGATGCATAGCTTTTAAGGCATACTTACATATAGCCCAGTATAAGAGCTCTGGTGATACACATCCAGCTCATATCTTTTGTTTCAGCTTACCCTTATTGGTTACTTTAATTTAGACTACACAGTTGATCTTCTATCTTTTTATCAAAAAATATTTACCCATAAATGGTTATTTAACCTGTCTGGCATGCAATGCTAACGAATATCATGAATTTGCACAAAATTATCGTTAACTGCCAAGATTCCTGATGGAATTCCTGTTGTCATGGTAGTATTACAAGGAACTATTTATAGTTCGGTATTTGCCCTTCGATGGCCTAAGACAGGGGAATTTTGCCAGCTGTTAACAGTTCAACTTAAAACATGCGACGGTTGTCTTGAGTTTCTGAAGTGAATCTACAAATGTTGTTTATCAATACTAGAGTTTAATTGTGTATTTTTTTTTAAAAAAAGAGAACTCTACAAAGGGTATAAAAAATAAACTGAACCTTTATATAAATTGATATCGAAGAATTTTAGACTTCGATAATAGCTTTTTTTCTTGGAAAAGTGAGACATTAAACCCGGCATAGTCAATTGAACTCAATCGAACTGTAGGTATTTCAATCTAACTCAATCGAACTAAATCGAACCAAGAGATCGAACTCAATCCATGGATTGAGTTCAATTGAGTTCGGCAATCGAACCAAATTGAACTCGCACAAAAATAATTGGGCATTCGAACTAAATCGAACTTTTGATTTCTGAACCCTTGATTTTTTGTAAAACTGGTGTTGAAACAGTCAATAACGAGTTTTTCGAGGCTCGAGTTACTTCGGTATAACTCGTGTTTTACGAGTTTTCAAGACCACATAACATAATCTTTGTTCAAGCGA